CCAGCCCCTACCCGGGCCAAGATGCAGTCCACAATGGACACTTCTGCAGACTCACATGGCACAAAACACCCAATTTGGGCCATGAGTACTATCACCCCAGTTTGTCGAATATATGTAGATTTACCTCCCATATTGGGGCCTACAAAACAAATTATATCAGAAATCAAGATTTTAAATTTCTTTCTGCTACTAATAAATGGATGTTAGTCCTAAGCTGTACGATGATGACTAATCATGTAGGTTTACACTGACGTGGCATACAAAAGCAGAACCACAGGCTGCCCAAAGATGTGGACAGAGTTACTGCCCATATTACCCCCAAAAGCAATGCTATTATTTCTTCGGACAAACTGATACTGGGCCTTTCATCAAGAGAAGCCATGAAAAATATACCTGTAATTTGACTCTGGCCTAGAAAGACCATATACACATTTCCCATGGCTCACAAGGCTGCCTGTGGGATAATTTATTGATTTCCAGAAAAGTAGTGCAGGCCTAACTGATTAACTCAAAACCGTTACTCATTAGTAAATGAGGTTACCATTGAGTGTATCAGTATGGTCAAATCTTTCGAACCACTTAAAACCCACACAAAAACCTGAAGACAGGATCCTTCTTTTGAAAAACAGGCGATTTATTTGTTGGGGTTATATTATATGAACAACTTGAAAATCCATTTGGGGAAAGAAAATACAATCAACCGTTTCCCAAATATATTTGCCCCAAAACTCCTACTTCCTTTTTTGTTTTCTAGATCTAGTTAAGATCTCTCAAACATCTCAGCGGAGACATGATACATGAGTCTATATGCAAGGCTAGTTTTTTCAAGTTTCACATGAATATAGCGCCATGTTTTAAAATAATTCGTACCCTAACCTGAGGTCCTCCCATAGCCAATTCGGCCTGACTTTCAAAGACCTCAGTATTGGAGGACTGGCTCAAAGGTAAGCTTTGAGTGTGAAGGGATGTTTGTTTCTAAATGTTCTGAACCTGTGGAACAAGTTTCAAGGAATACATTATTCTCTCATAAGCTTTTATCTCACCTTCTAAATCTTTCCTCTAATCCAAATGTGAATAGATTACTAACTGGTAAGAATAATATGTTCTCTTTCTCATGTTAAGAACTGGGAATTTTCTCCATCAATTTTAAATATATTTCTACTCCAAGATAAAAAACAAACAAACAAACAAACAAAAAACATGTTACCCCCACAAAGGCCAAAAACCAGGTTTTTTACCAGTAATGATGTGGAACATCTGTTTGTCTTTTTCAAAGTATATATCATTAGGAATAAACGTGATTTCATCTTGAACTTCAACACAAGCATGCCTGGATGCTTTTAATATAATTCTTCCTTGTCCTTTCTCCAAAATGGCTGGTCGTACATATGGAACAGGTGCTCCATTTGACACATGAGCAAAGCTGACAACAGCATCTAGCTGAGCTAATACATCATTGAGTGTTTGCATTGGTTCTACATAGCCTGTATAAAAATAAAAACAGAAAATGTACACAGGAATACTGAATAATAAACAGATATAAGCTGTAAGAATACATTTAATCCCCCCATTTGGGAATTCAAAACCCATTTCCTAACTTATACTTTTTTAAAAAAATTAACAAAATTAGCCATAACAAAATTTGAAAGGAACCCACCTAAAACTCAACATAGGGTTAAAATGTGTGCTACATCCTTCCCCATTGTGAATAGCTATCAAAAACAGAGTACTGGCTGGGTTGAGGGCTCACACCTATCATCCCAGCACTTTGGAAGGCCGAGGCGGGCAGATCGCATGAGACTAGGGATCACATGAGGCCAGGAATTCAAGACCAGCCTGGCTAACATGGCAAAACCCCATCTCTACCAAAAATACAAAAATTAGCCAGGTATGGTAGTGCATATCTGTAATCCCAGATACTCGGGAGGCTGAGGCACCAGAATTGCATGAACCCAGGAGGTGGAAGTTGCAGTAAGCTGAGATTGCACCACAGCACTCCAGCCTGGGCAACTCTGTCTCAAAAACAAACAAAAACACACAAAAAACAAAAGTAGAGTACCTTCCCTTATCATTAAAATATAAAACTATACAGCTGTTTATAAAGAAATGTGTAGAGCTTTAAAAAAGAAAACTAACAAGGAGACACTTTGATAATATATTGATTAGGTTAAGAGAAACGGTGCAGTGATATCTAAGACATTCTCTCAATTTTAAGACACACCTTTTTCTATATTTTAAGTACCTGAGAAACCGGAATGGCACCTCAAAATCATCATAAGACACATGTAAGCAAAAAGGTAGCATGTTGAAATGTGACCATCAAGGCCTGGTATATTGTACAAGCTGACCGTAAAACAGTTAGTTTGGCTTTCTTTAGTATCACATGCAGAGAATGTCAGCATAAATTTAAATCTCTAATTGTCACTTAAAACATTTCCAAGATTCTACTGTTCTAGAGTATTAAAACTAAACGCTATTAATAGGTACATTAAAAAAATCTCTGACACATGCTAGACAAAAAACATGAAGAAAATTAACAATGCTTTAACTTTTCTGAAAAGATTCTAAATGTTAACAGGTTGGAGGGGCTGGTACATGACCCACATGTCATTCAGACTATCATACAGCTATCAATCATGTCAAAAGTTTCACAGAACATTCAAGATAAAAGCGTTTAATTCTAGGAAAACCAAAAATTATCAGTTTAATCAAGGGGCTGGAAATTTAACTCATTTTTTATTCCCTTGTTCCCCGTAACAGCGACCAAATGTTTTCAAAATAAAAATCAACTTAACAATGGGGCCAGGCAGACATAATTATCTTCCTCTGTTTCAGTATATCTTTTTTTTTTTTTTTTGGAGACAGAGTCTTGCTCTTGCTCTGTCGCCCAGGCTGGAGTGCAATGGTGTGATCTCGGCTCAGTGCAACCTCCGCCTCCTGGGTTCAAACGATTCTCCTGCCTCAGCCTCCCGGGTAGTTGGGATTACAGGCACCTGCCGCCACACCCAGCTAACTTTTGTACTTTTATAGAGACAGGGTTTCACCATGCTGCTTAGGCCCGTCTCGAACTCCTGACCTCAGGCAATCCACCCGCCTCAGCCTCCCAAAGTGCTGGGATTATAGGTGTGAGCACCTGGCCTCAGTATACTTTTAAAATTTATTACTTTTACCGAATACGTTTTTCTAAAGAAAAAGAAAGGAAGAATTCACACTACCCTATTATATAGCAATATAAGCCTTTAAGAATTAAACATGAGTGAAGTACTTGCTATAACTACTTTAAAACTTGTAAAATTGCTAGCATACTGACAAGAATAAGTTTATAGTAAAAAAAGAAAACTAGGCTGGGCAGGGTGGCTCACGCCTGTAATCCCAATACTTTGGGAGGCCAAGGTAGGAAGATTGCTTGAGTCTGGCTTGGGCAACATAGTGAGACCTCATCTCTACAAAAGATAATTTTTAAAAAATTAACCAGGTGTGGTGGCACATGCCTGTAGTCCCAAGCTACTTGGGAGGCTGAGTGGGGAGAATTGCTTGCACCTAGGAGGTTGAAGCTGCAGTGAATCATGATCACACCACTGCACTAAAGCCTGGGCAACATGGTAAGACCCCATCAAATACATACATACATACATATATACCAAAAGCAAACCAAAGCATCTTAATTAAGAGTCTATACTTGGCATGTCACATAACTGGCTCTTAACCTTTTGTGACTTAATTGTATGATAGAAAATTATAAAAGTGATCCATTACACTTTTTGAGATGGAGTCTTGCTCTGTTGCCCAGGCTGGAGTGCAGTGACATGATCTCAGCTCACTGCAACCTCTGCTCTGTTGCCCAGGCTGAAGTAGCATAATTATGGCTCACCGCAGCCTCGACCTCCTGTGTTCAAGTGATTCTCCTGCCTCAGCCTCCTGAGTAGCTGGGACTACAGGCATGCACCACCACACCTGGCTAATTGTGGGGGGATTTTTTTGTAGAGTCAGGGTCCCCCTATGTTGGCTAGGCTGGTCTCAAACTCCTGGGCTCAAGCAATCCTCCTAGCTCAGCCTCCCGAAGTGCTGGGATTACAGGTGTGAACCACCATGTCCAGCCTCCATTATATTTTTAAATACAAATACTTTGTAATATGTAATATCAGACCAAGAAGAAGTTTCATTTAAATTCAGGTTGACTTCTAATATAAAATCTTCAATTTAAATGTTAAAATCTAAAAACTTTGCCCTGCTAGGTGCTTAATAAATATTATTTTTTAAGGAAGATCCATAGTTCAAATAAATGGTATTTATAGGGTTCTTTAAAATGCAATCTAGCCTAAGAAACATAATTCAGCTAGAAGATTATTATGTCACTGCTTTCTGATACAAACAAGCAAAAATGTAATCTTTACAAATCAATTCCATTCATTTCAACAATACATAAAGTGTATTAAAATAAAACCTTGAGTTTTATGTTTCCTTTTGATTTATTATGACAATTCATAATAGCAACACAATTTACAGAATTATTCATGCACATAACCTTTCAAAAAAATATTTACCCTTAAATAATTTAGCATGCATATCCTGAGAAAAAGGACATTCTCCTAATCATAACACTACCATTTCACACAAGAAATCTGACGCTAACACCATATTGTCTCATATTAAACTTTCTCAATTCGCCCCAATAGTGTCCTCTATAGCTATTCCCCAGCTCCAACCTCTAAATTGGGGTCTAATCAACAACTGTCTACTGCGTTTGGCTGCCCTATCTCTTTAAGACCTTTTGATTTCTTTTTTGCTGCCATGACATGGACATTTATTAAAGTTCAGGCCCTGAATGTACCACAATCTAAATTTATTTGAATTTTTACTTGTTTAAAATCAGGTTAAATATTTTGGTCAAGAATACCATATAGGTGATACTGTGTCCTTCCTTCTATATTACACCAGGAAGTACAGGTCATTTGTCCCATGACTGGTAATTTTAACTTTATTTTATTTATTTATTTATTTATTTTTTTTTTTTTGAGACAGAGTCTTGCTCTGTGCCCCAGGCTGGAGAGCAGTGGCGCGATCTCGGCTCACTGCAAGCTCTGCCCCACCCGGGTTCACGCCATTCTCCTGCCTCAGCCTCCTGAGTAGCTGGGACTACAGGCGCCCGCCACCTCGCCCGGCTAATTTTCTTGTATTTTTAGTAGAGACGGGGTTTCACCGTGTTAGCGAGGATGGTCTCGATCTCCTGACCTCGTGATCCGCCCGTCTCGGCCTCCCAAAGTGCTGGGATTACAGGCTTGAGCCACCGCGCCCGGCAATTTTAACTTTAATTACTTGGGTAAGGTAGTTCTTGAGTATATTTTTTAAAGGCACAATAAAGGTTACAGTCAACATACACACCATGATCGGCAAAGCCTTCCAACTTAACACATCACCACCTACTTTGTGCTAAACATATACTCATTCCATTCTAAGGGCAATAACAGTGTCAGGTTGCTGTGTTCCTTTAATTACATGAAAATGATCTCAAATGGTGCCACTAGAATGAACTCAAAATCTACAAAATGACACACAGAACTCAAAAAGGCCTGCCTCGTGTGTAATTAATATTTGCTTTTCAGTGGTATTTACTTCCATAACCTAGAGCCTCATGAGCCCATAGATGATCCAAGACATTAGTATGTTGTAGGCCCTAGTGTTTCCTTTCCTTGTTACAACTATAGTAAGTTTTGTGCTTTTCTGCCATTTTTTGTTTCTATGTACAAGAGTAATTTCCAGTTATGTGTCCTATCGTAACATACCATGCCTTATTTTATATAGGAAACCTAACATATTAAATAGTCAAAATGTAATGGTTTTAGAAAATAACAAAACACACTTCAAATATCATGATTTTTTTTTCTATTACCAAAAGCCAGGCGACATTCAGAACACTACTATTTCTATTAAGTTTACCTGAAGAAATATTGACAATTTCTTTAACAATGGCATCCTGGGCTTCTTCATATTCTGTTTTATTTTTGGTATACTCTTCATTTAAAGAAGTCAATTTGCTGCAAATCAACATAACAGTTTTATTAAAAATATTAAAATGTGTACTAGAAGCAATGTGTACTACATGAAACATATCCAAAGTATCCTATGAAACATCAAAACAATAATTAAAATGGGATTATAAGTGGAAAACAGACAACTCCTTAGGGACAAATGTGGTTAGAATTCAATTTATTAACGTTCTTTTATGCTGTTTGGAATAGCGCAATGGCACAATTCCTGCTATAACTATATTCCCCTGAGTAAAAATATGACCTGTGCCCTTTTACAAAATATTTAAATGGAATCCTTATTTAAGATTGAAGTCGGCCGGGCGTGGTGGCTCACGCCTGTAATCCCAGTACTTTGGGAGGCTGAGGCGGGTGGATCACC